TACTACCAGCTGTTAGTTCCGACTCACCTACGAACTTCCTGTGCGTGGGGGGAAAGAAATTGGTATTCGGCGGGTGACATTCCTGAGGCGGCTTCAGTTGCCGGCTGTTTTCCGGGGCGGAATGAAGTGTGTTGTTGAGTGGCGGAACATGGGCTCTGATGTACGGCTCTCAGACCATTATACTGTACGTTACTGTGGTAGTTTTTAGGTGTAGGAATGTTTTGTCGGTGTGTAATGAAACTTGATTTTTGAAACAGGAATGCCTTGCATTAATGGTCTTCGTGAGATTCCAGTGGGAATTATTACATACCATACCTGAAAAGTCAATTAGCGGAGTATTTTCAGGCCCTAGAACATTCATCATTTTAATCTAGACCCTCGATAAAATTCCTCTGATTGCAATGCATTGCATGGTTTGCTTTTTTTATGAGACGCAAGTGTAATCCATTCTATTTCCGCCGGAAATGTCTTTTACTGCATTTTTAGAATACGGTGCGTTAACAGCTTTTTATTCAATCCACTTGGATTATTTGACAGTACACAGCATCGGGAACTGTCGTTATCAGCTCTGTAAGCTGTTTAAAGCAAGGCATCAACAATTTCAAAAATTGCTTCTGTGATATAGCAGAAGGCTTTTTTTCAATGGTTTTTCAAATCTACAGTCGAATTTTCTTTGCTCCTGAAATTGTTCAAATAATTTCCAATCCTTCAACTCTTTTTTAAATCCATCAAGCCGAACTGATCGCTGCTTGTTCGAATGTGAATACTGTGTTGTCTCTATTAAAAAAGATGCAACAGTTCTTCAAATCCACAGTCGAATTTTCTGGGCGCTTGAAATTCTTCTGATATTGTAATTTACAGTACTGTACTTCCGAAGTGTCACAAACACTTTCATAGGAATCGCGTTTTTTTTTTTACTATGGTCAAATGTATTTCCTCTGTGATTTCGCACGATTTTCGGCAGCCCTGTAAATATAATTAGCACAGTATTTCGGTTCTTCTGGACAAACAGTTTGCGACGTAATTTCGTGTTGCATTAGAGATGCAGGCAGGGGCTATATGGCAATGTTCTTTTCCACTTCGGGATTCTCGCTTTCCATTCAAAACATTCGATATTCATGAGACAGAACATGCTGGTGTAACAACTGCGTATTTCCAAGGGTTTGTTTTTCCCTGCATGATGGTGTTGTGACGAGTGTCCTGAATCATTCTGGTGTGCCAATTATATTCCAGGTTAGTATAGAGGAAAATGGAGAAAAAAAAGTGGGCGATACCGGTTATGAGGAATTCTATGAGAAATTTCGTGGATCGCAATAGAAATATTTTAACAGATTGGATCGAATCGTGAACGGGAATTTCAAATGCCTCACTAATTACCTCGTGCAAAAGCTGGCTAAACCATATCCTATTGTAAACATATGCTTTTCATTTTCCGGGAAATGAACGCAGCTTTCAAAAAATTTTCCACGCCGCGAAAATTATGAAATCGGAAGCTTGAAGATAAAAGTAATGTCGAGAAGAAAACGACGCAAAAGAACAGGCCGCAGTGCCGATAAAATTGACGTCGGCGTAAAATCTGCCAAATAGTGTTTTTATGCACATGAGAAAATGCTGCAAGGAGGAATTGAGTCACGGAAGAAAAAAAATTGCAGTAAAATTATCAAATTTTTTTCCTTATTTTCGAGATGGAATGCATCCTGATTCCCCGAATGATTTTCAAGTGATTATTAGTTGTTACTTCTCCCTCGATTTGGTTTTTTTTTAAATTTTACCCATCAAGTGAATTTGGAGATTAAGAACATGGGATAATTATGACCATCAAAATAATACAGTTCTGGTGTTTTCAATTTTAATGCGTGGGTAATTTTCCATCGTTTTTCGCTAATACTATGGCGATTAGTTTTTATACTCGTAATCTTTAAAAAACGGTAAAACTGTATAATTTTACAGTACCTACAATAATTTAAGGAATTGATGGAGTTTGTCTATGAGCTCAATGTCCGCATCATTTTCTCGACGTTCAGTTTTTCAAATATTCCAGCAATGAAATGAAAGAGCAAATTGTTGATCGTCGACATTTTTTCGGTATTCTTTTCGCTCTGAAAAATTTTTCAATCATACTAATAACCGATACAGAATTTCTTAAAATTTTCGAAAATCGCAGAAGTAAACGGAAACCGGGAAAAATGTGCTAAATACGCATTTAAATCGGATTTTCTGGATCGCCGCCGCATTCCACAGGCAATTAGCATTTTAAAACTAATGCTTAGTGCGTATTATGCTTTTTTTTAACGTTTAGCAGTCTCTAAAACGATTTAATGTTCAGCCTCTTGTAAGCGGGCATTTATTATTAAAAAATCCACGCCGAGTCTCGTTTTTAAATTGAGTTACGCAACCACTTCCTTTTGTTCGCTTTTCTTTCATCATGGGATTAAGAAAGAAAAAGAAAACGATGATGGAGGAACAAAAGTGTTGAAGAATTTGGTTCTGGTGCAAAGAATAATCCGAATACACAAGCGTCCCTTTCGGGTTTTTGCACCATGAATCTCGCGTGGGTCTCGTGATGCAAGTGTCTTATTTAAGATCCTTTGCCAGTTTTAGACCCGACCATAACGGCGTGTGTAACGAACGGGTTCCACCAAGTCACACGTAAGTAAGCGGACACATACACCACTTTCGTAAACAGGAACAAAAAAACAAAACGCACCTATACAGACCACAAAGTGTAACCAACTTAGTGCGCAAACAAAAATAAGATAATTTCATGTGAAGGCTGTCAGGAAACGCGTGGAGTGTTTAGTTGCGAAGCGACTGCCAAGGGTTGAGTGTCAGTGTGAAGCGAAAAGAATTCATTTATTTCGAGTGGAGTTTAGTGTCGTTGTTGGAATTGGGTTTTAGACTGATTTATAAGTTCTCTTGAGTGGACTATTGAAGGCTTATTGCATTTTTCTAGTATGGTCTATCAGATCTATTCTATATTTTTGACAGGAGTCTTTTTTTTTAAACGATGAATCTCCTTTGTCGGAGCTTCTTTCGAATTGCAATTATTTGACGAAACTTCGATTATATTATTTATGCACGAGTGTTATGCAATTAAATTGTGTGGTTTCTAAGTTTCTTTAAGGACTGCGTACTGTACTCAGATTTACTCTGATTTATAAGTTTTCATGAGTGGGTTATTGAAAGCTTTTTAAATTCTTCGATCATCGAAGCAATTTTCTCTTTTTTTTTACACATGGAGCCAATGTTTTCTTGGCTATGCATATCTATTTTTTACCGGAGTTTCATTTGAAATGAAATTCTGTTACGAGTTGTCTTAGACCTTTTTTAAAGCATTCTTTTGCGAATACATATTTATTTGCTTAGAAAATGACAGCTTTCGGTCATTAGTGAATATGGTCAACGAGAAGGCTTGCCGATTGTTGTCTACGTTTCCCTCGAGTAATAGTATTGGGGTAACCACGTAGTGCGGATTGAATCATCATTTTATCAATGACCTTGAAACGATTCCATTGAATAAACGTCAATAAAAAAAAAGTAATTCAAAACAAATGATCAGGCTCACGAGACTCGGGAATTCTGCGAACGACTTCCTTTTTGCTATGTGTAATTTTTTTCATCAAAGGGATGGACAACGAGAACACATTTTCATATGTCAAAATTAGGAATTTAGACGACATTACGATTTATTTCCACCCAGAAAGATTGAAAGTCAGATAAGTGACGGGAGTAAAATAATGAATGACGGTTTTCAAGTGAGTTTTTGCGATTTTGTTGCGTCTGTCATTATCATCGGTCGAAACATGCTTTAATATTCCTGAATTTTATCTAGTTGCTTTTTCTAACTAGTCGTGATCCAAGCAGTACGATGGCGGATTACCGTTTTAGCACCTAAAAAACTCAGCAAAAAGGTTTTTTTAATCAACCTGAAAACTGTTTAATTCTTTCTGGGTGATTCCTCTTGCTGTCAAAATGAATTTATTGGGTTCAGCCTGAAAATTTATTGCTTATTGCATTTGATATTTACAGTACTTAGACTCAGACCAGATGATCAGAGTTCTTGAAGAATCCCAAAGAACCTATAGTTTTACACAAGGAGGTGACACCTATTTCAGTTTCTTGCATATACATTGCCAAGGACGTATACTTGAATGCAGGAAATACAGTACAGTACAATCTCTCAACAACAAATCTTGTTGTAAAAATACTTTTTGTGAGTCATTATTAGGACCCCTCTCAGTAGGAAGAATTTGAATGAGATGCTTCAAAACAAATTACAAGAAAACTATTTTTGGTTCACAACATGGCTTTGTTACAAGATTTTACCTCAGTGTACAGTATTTCATCTGGGAGAGTTAGGATGGGTAATTGTGTTCATCTGGGACAGTTTCAAGTGTACTTTAAGGCAGGCTAAGGTGTAAGGTATTATACTGGACTTACTTAACTGCCGGTACATTATTTCTATACAGTACTTTCAGGAAAAAAGGTGTAAGTCATAGGCAATTTGGCAGGTATAGTTTTTCAAGAAATTTCGAGAGTTTTTGTTTTTTGAGCATTATACAGTACTTGATTTTTATGGGAAAATTTGGAACAAGTTCAACAGATAACTGTTTTTCAATGAGGAAAATTGAAATTTGGTCAGCTTGATGTTCAATTCATGTCTAAATTTGAATTTGGGTCTTCTTTCTTTCAAAATTTTGTGGTTTTAGAGTCACCAAAAATTGGGGTGCGCATCTTATTGTGGGATGAGATTTTATCAAAAGTTTCAACTAAAATACCCTGGTGCGTGTCTTACTTGAGGACATGTGGAACTCAATAAGTAGTCTTGAGTTCCACGAAATTACACCAAATTGCACCGGTCCTCGAAATTCATGCATTTGTTCAGTTGTTCATTGGTGAAATTTCAAAGGACATTCCAAATCTTCAACATTTTTGTCTGTATGGTAATTTCATGAAGGGATTTTAGTGAGATGAGTACCGTAGTAGTGATCTCGCCAGCAATGATCTCGCGCAACGCGTCGGCGCTGCACTGCGATCACGTGTCCAGAAACCTGCTTCTCGAATCGTCGCTGGAGAAAGGCGTCGAGAGCCGCTTAAGGCTTGTCCGGGCGGAGGAAGTGAGCGAGCCGGTTAGCGGCTTCGCTGGTGCGGGGGATCCTGAGAGGCAGCAAGCTCCATTCGCCCGGAAACGGTCCCGCACTGCTGGCTCCATCTGGGCGCGCAGGATGATGACGCTAGATGGCGCCGTGCGACCGTTGCATGCCCCTATGCTGCGGGCGCCACCTGTGCGTGGCGTCGGGAGTAAGAGGACCAATGCGCTACTGGCGACCCCTGTGGTGGCTCATGACGAGGATGCGAATGAGGTGCTGCACATTCAGGAGCTTGACGCTGGCGAAATGGCTGATGTTTTACACGCATCTTCTCTGAAGGTGAGTTTGCTTACTGCATTGAGTCATAACCTGTGTCAGAATTCAGAATGTAAACTTTCTGGAGAGATTCTCAGTGGATCACTGGAACTAACCCCAAATTAATCCTGAAGAAAGGGGCCTATTATGGCTACCAACTCTTCCTCTGTTGGACTGCTTGCTAAAATCTCATGAAATCTTGAAATTACCCACAATGCTCAAATTTTAGCAATTAAGTGTGTATGTCTTGAAGGAGTTGTTCTGAAACGGTAGTACTCTTCACATACATTTTATTTGACCTTTTTTGTGTTTGTAAAACTTGAAACTTGAAATTGCCATTTGTGAGTCAAGTACTGCGCCACCAGAGATTCCTAGTCAATCTTACTGACATCAATCTTAAAATCATCCAAAAATATTAATCTCTGCTTATCATGTTACCATTCACCTTTACTTTTCAAAAGTTCATTGGTTTTTTTCTGCACTACATGATAATTGCTGAAAACTCGGTTTGTCTAATTCTGAGTGCAAACATTTAATCAGAGGTCCTGTCTTACTTATTTCCTGAGCTAGTTTTCTTTAGTAATTTTATAAAAATGAAATTTCTTTAAATTTCTTGGTGTATATTTTTGGCTGAGGAAGTGATGTAAATCTGAGTTTGCTTGAAGCATTTCATCTGCTGTTCATGAATATGCTTGACAAATTTTTTTGTTCATTTTTTTGTAGGTTTTGATACTCGATTGTAGATCATTCCTTGACTTCAACAATGGCCATGTTTACAATGCTGTGAATGTATGGTGTTCCAAACTGCTCAACCGACGGCTGCAGCAAAATAAGGTGAGTTTTTTTGCAACTGCGCATGTTTTGCGAAAATGTTCCTTCAAATGTATCGTGTCTGAATCACTGGTATTGAATTTGAGACACTCCTCAATTTTTAAATTTATAAACATAATTTTGGAGACATTCAAATTTCGCCCGCCTTTATGTTTTACGCAGTGCTTTTTTAAATCTTGATTTTTAAAACGTTTATTCGTGCATCCATCAAGAATGTTTGTTGAATTTCTTCGTAGAACCAGTGATGACACGTAGACCAAGAAAAGATGACGTATTTTGGCAAATTCTGTGTTTATTTTTGCGTTTTTTTTGTTTTGTGGTGGTACATTGTGTCTGCAAGTATGTCCCGACTTAGTCGAGGTCAAAAGCCTCCCTGGCTTAGTCATATCTTTTTCTGTTTCCAAAAGACCTAAATATAGAACAGGTGAATACAACTGGCATCTTTGTTGGAGGAATCCAGAGGTAAAATTTCGAATACTGTAAATGTCTAAAATCAAAAATAGCAGCTTAATATACCAGAAATGAGGTCTTGGAAAAATTTGCATAACCTAATTTTGCTGAACGACTTTTACCCCTATTTGTTTTTCTGGGATATTGAAAACAATTCCTGGCTTTATTTGTTTGGTCTGAAAAGTCCAATCCATACTTGTATCAAGTATTTGTTTCTATTTGAAAACTCTACATCTAAAGCATGTGAGTAAGTCATGTATTGTGAGGCCTCAAAATTTGGATTTGTAATTAATCACTCATTTGAATGGGTATGTCAAAACGTCTAAATGGCAGGTCATATTTTCTCATGGACTTCAATGGTAACATTCCTGATCATTTCATGGCAGTAAAGTGGAAAAACACCTGAAAATTCAATGAAAATGTTATTCTCTATTTGATGAAAAAGAGAACATGTGAACTGCACAAAATCTTCCCTTTTGCATGAAAACAATTCCAATTCCAGACTTTGTGCAGATGTCACAGCAAATTGTTTTTAAAGGTTTATTTGTCAATGAGTCAAATGTTCAACATGTCAGTGCAGTGCATTCATATATTCATGCCGAACGTCATCTTTGTTTGAAGAATTGAAAAAAAGTAGCTTTTGGTGTAGATGAGGGGTTTACATGGAAAAGTTATGTAACTCCTTCATCATTAGCCTACTTTCCATTTGCCTTCTGGGATGATGAACAAAGTTTCTTCACCTTCTTCTGTGTTCTCTGAAAGATCAAAAGGCCTCTTGAACTTGAGTAACCTAAATTTAGATCTTATGAATAATTCATGTTCTTTTGTTCTGTGAATTTCCAATCTTCAAAAAAGAACAGCTTTCTTTGTTGACATGTAGTTGCAGAGAAATATTTTGGTGAACCAACTTTACATTTTGTTTTCTTTTGATGTTGGGGAACGTTTTTACCATTTATTCAAATATGTGTTTTTTGGATCTAAAGGACTCTTTGAATGGTCAGAATACCCCATTTTTAAGGCATTCGAATTATTATTTATTCGCATGTCTTGATATATGATTAACAATTTTTATCATTATTATAATTTATATTCATTATACTGTATATGATTTTACAATGTGGAAAACGGTGTTTTCCACACCTGTGGGACACTACAAATTTTTAAATCTTCCCATGGGTTTGAAAAATAGCCATGAATTATCGATAAATTATTTTTTCCAGAATTAAATCATCTGCAAAAAACAAAGGCAAAAAAGTAGAATGGCAGAGTTTTAATTGCTGAAATCCGTACTTTGCTATAGAATTTTGCGCAAGGGACACATTTCGAGGGGTTTTTCTGTATATATTTTTTTTCTGCTATTTTCAGGTGACAGCCCAGGAAGTGCTGAGGAATACCTTCCATTTGGAGGTTGGTGAAGCAGAACTGGTGGTCATTTATGACGAGGACTCTGCTGCAGTGTCTGCACTGGAAACCAACGGCTTCACTGATGCAATTTTTTAAAAATCCGGTTACTGTATGATTTAAAGTTTCGTGGGCGAATTTCAGATTTTGTAAAATGAGAACTTCATGGGGAAAACTTTGGTTCCGATTTTTCGATGTCATAATCAATTTTTGAAACGAAAAAACGGTGTCCTCGGACTTCTTCGATGAAAAACGAAAATTTCCCCCCCCAAAAAACACGGAAATTCAGCAAGTTTTGAGATTAAAAGTTTTATTTTACTATCAACTTAAGAAACATCTCTGCGAAAAATAAAAGAGAAAAGACGTCAAATTGTTACCTTTTACGTCCCGGAAAATTTGAGAAGTTTCAGGAAAGTTCGCGGGTTAAGATTTTGCCGGGATTAGTTTTATTTTATACCCGTGCATTCGGGAAATTTATAAATATTATGGTCTAGCGAGGCCTTCAATCTTTGGGTGTCTGGAATACATTAAATATTGAATAAATTAAATATTAAATAAATTCGAGAAGTTTCAGAAAGTTCGCGGGTTAAAATTTTACCCATACATAAAAAAATATCAAGGTCTAGCGAGGCCTTTAATCTTTACTGGGTGTCCTGAATACATTAAATGCGTATTTTTCGATTAAAACTTGAAAGAAGTCTAATTTTGTAAAGCGGAGCTGGGTCTGAAATTGTTTTGCATCTGCGTGGACCCACTGTATGCCCAGTTTCACCTTAGTTTTACAATTGCTCCTACAGATGGAACTGCATTTTAGGGCTGTAGATTTCAGTGCAGTACATATCCTGCATACCTAAACATAATACAGGTGAACCTCGATAAGTCGAACCTCTGTTAGTCGAATTCCTCCCTGAGTCGAATTTTTTCAAGTCCCTCAAATTATTTTTTCCTGAAACCTCTGTAAGTCGAATTTTCTGAAGCCTTCTGGTTATTATTTCTGTGAAATATGAGAGAGAAAATGATTAAAACTAATAATTTGATGCTTCTTGGAAGGAATTATAGCAAATGAAAGACAAATATAACAAATGAACCCCTGCCTCCAAGTTCAGCATGACAGTAAAAACTTATCAAGAGGCAAGTTTAGGCCCAGAATCTCCTCATTTACAAATTTCCTGCAAATTTTTTTTACCAATCCTCACAGCAAAAGTCATTTTTTCCTTAATTCAAAACCTGCAAAAATCAAAACCTCCTTAAGTTGAATTTTTTTCGTGGTCCCTAGAAATTCGACTTACAAGAATTATTGATGAGGCCCACTCAGGACCCATCAGGACCCACTGATATTATCAGTGGGTCCTGATGGAACCCTCTCAACCAAGCACATGAACCCAAAATGAATTTATTTCTAGACTGTAGTTGAACCTCTGTAAGTCGAATTTTTGGTCCCTAGAAA